GACATTAGAAAGCGTTTCTTTACCAGGAAGGTTGCTGAGTACTGGAGCAAGCTTCCTGGAGAGGTGTTCAATGCCTGAAGCCTGTCAGCATTTAAGAGGTGTTTAGACAATGCCTTGACAGTGTGCTTCAGCTTTTGGTCAGCCCTGAATTGGTCAGGCAGTTGGATTAGATTGTTATTTTATGTCCCTTCCAACTGAAATAGTCTGTATTGTGTTCTAAATTATTTGTTTAGCCTGGCTTTTGTTCAATCCCTTTCTATATAGGCCTTGACAAAATTTTTAAAATGTGTCAACTGGGACCTACCCCAAGAGGCAAAGCAAGCACTGGAGCTACTGGGAAAGTGGAAGCCCATGGATGTGGAAGATTCTCTAGAACTTCTGTCGTCTCACTTCACCAATCCAACAGTTCGGCGTTATGCTGTGGCCAGGCTTCAGCAGGCTGATGATGAGGTATTCATTGGTCTGTGGGTACATGTGAAAATCAGTTGGTCTCATTGAGTACTTGAAATGCTTGCTACTTTTTAAGGCATTTCAGTGAATAATAATAATGAGAAAAATAAAAAGACCTTCACTGTGATGCTGTTTGCTATGAACTCTTTATGGAGCTTAGCTTTCTTATTATGAAGTGGCACTCAATAATTTTCTCTGGGGGAACAGCCAGTGATAGTTCCGACCCCATGCCATGGGCAGGGACACCTCCCGCTAGACCAAATTTCTCAAAGTCCTGTCCACCCTGGCCTTGAACACTTCCAGGGAGAGGGCATCTGTAGCTTCTCTATGCAACTTATTCCAGTGTGTCACTATCTTCATAGTGAAGAATTTCTTCGTAATGTCTAACCAAAATCCATGCTCTTTCAGTTTTAAATCATTGCTCTTTGTCCTATAACTCCATGCCCTTGTAAAAAAATCCCACTCTGGCTTCCCTTTGAACCCTTCAGGTACTGGAAGGCTGCTGTAAGGTCGCTCCAGAGCCTCTCTCTCTCTCTTCTCCAAACTAAACAGCCCCAACTCTCAGCCTGTCTCCATAGCAGACCTGCTTCAGCCCTCTCATCTTCATGACCCTCCTCTGGACTAGCTTCAGGAACTCCATATCCTTCCTTTGCTGGCAGCTTCAGAGCTGGACACAGTACTCCAGGTGGATTTTAAGACAGCGCAAGGGGAGAATCACCTCCCTTGACCTGCTGGCCATATTTCATTTAATGCAGCTCAGGACACGCTTGTCTTTCTGGGCTTCAAGTATGCATCACTGGCTCATACGTAGCTTTTCGTCCACCAAGATGCCCAAGTGCTTTTCCTGAGACCTGTTCTCAATCTATTCCCTGCCAAGCCTCTAACTGTGTTACTGTGCAGGCTATGTATTGGTCTTACTGAACTTGATGAGGTAGGCATGGGCTCATGTCTCAAGCCTGTCAAGGACTATCTGGATGGCATCCCTTCTCTCCAGCATGTCAACCATCACGTAGTTTGGTGTTTTCAGCAAATTTGCTGAGGTTGCACTCAATGCTGCTGTGCATGTCACCAACAAAGATACAGTATGTATCACAGTACTGACACTTGAGGAACACCATTTGTCATTGGTTTCCATCTTCACAGTGAGCTGTTGACCACTACTTACTGAGTGCAATTATCCAACCGATTACTTTTCCACTGAGTGACCCATCCATTTAATCCATATCTTTCTGATTTAGAGATGTCTTTTGAGACAAGTCCAGGTAGATGATACCATTTGCTCTCCCCTTGTCCACCTGACACTGTAACAACATTGTAAAAGGCCATTGAATTTGTCAGGCAGTATTTGCCCGTGGTGAAGCCATGTTGGTTGCCACACACCACTTCCACATTTTCCATGATCATTAGCAGAGCTTTTAGGAGGATCTGCTCCATGATCTTTCCAGACACAGAGGTGCAAGTGTCTGGCCTGTAGTTTCCCAGGTCTTTCTAAAAAGATCCCTTTTTGAAAACAGGGTCTATGTTTCCTCTTTTTCCAGCCAGTGGAGACTTCACTGGATAACCAGAGTTTTGAAAGTATGATGGATAATGACTCATGAGCTTCATCTCTAGTTCCTTTAGGACCTGATTTTATCAGGTCCCATGATCTTGTCCATGGGGTCTGAATTATCACTGTGGATCTATTATCATTGTCATACTATAGAAGCTTTGCTTATTGCCCTTGGTGTCCAAGGCCAGATGGAATTCTATCAGAGCTTTAGCTTTCCTAACCTGGTACCTGGCTGCTTGGACAGTGCCCAGGAGCTTCTTGTTCACCCATGCAGGCCTCCTGGCATTTTTGCCTGACTTCCTCTTTGTTGGGACGCATTGCTCCTTAGCTTATTAGGAGCTGTTCCTTGAATATTCCCCACATCCTTTTTGGTGAGAACAAGGTCCAGCATAGCATCTCTCCTCCTGTGCTCCTCTCTCATTTGGAGAAGGAAGTTATCAACATATTCCAGGAGCCTCCTTGATTACTTAGGCACTGCAGTGTTGTCCCTTCAACAGGTACTGGGTTTTTAAGTCCTCCATGAAGACCAGGGCTTCTGAATGTTAGGTTACTGCTGCCTACAAAGGACCTCATCTTCTCAGTTTTCCTGGTTGAGTGGCCTGTAGCTAATGCCTACTTGTAACGCCCCCTTTAATCCTGACCCATAAGCTCCCGGTTGGCTCCTCATCTATCCCGAGGCAGGGCTCTGTGCACTTGGGCTGGTCATTGACATAGCCAGCTTTAACTGACCCCTTGATTAATTTTCATTTGTTTCTCCACAAGGATTTGCTGATGTACCTGCTGCAGTTAGTCCAGGCACTGAAATATGAAAACTTTGATGATATAAAAAATGGACTGGAACCCAGCAAGAGGGACAGTCAGGGTTCAATGTCAGAAAGCATGACAACATCTGGAACTAATGGTGCAGAAATAGACAGGTAAGAAGCTTAGATTTCCAGTAGAAAAGCAGCAATGTAGCATTTCAAGCCCTGAAATTCTTTCTCATTTCTAGGGACCATTGCATATTCAGCATCCTGATTTGTAATCTGAATTGATGACATTATATTAAAAAAAAACACAACAAAACAAAGCCAAACCCTTGAGCTTTCATATAATGAATTTGCTGATGACAAATAGTTTAGAGAGCAATCATTCCTAACCTTTAAGTTTTGGCCTTTGACCTTACTACATGAAAGGAAGACAACTTTTGGAGAGCAGGGAAAACACTGGCTTTGCTTTCCTCTCTCAGAAGTTAGGGGATCTTCAGTGAAGTTGCTTTATGAGGCTCCACTTCCCACTTCAATTGAAGACTATGGATCTAAAAGTCTGATTCATCTGAAATGGAAAGAAACTTTTTCCTGCTTCTGAAAGAGAAGGTGCAGGGCGAGTCCTGTGAATATAAAAGGAGCTGGGGGAGCACTTTTTATTCTTGCAGGAATCCTAAAGAAAGGCAGAAATACCTGATTAATGTGCTATTTAAGCAGGGTGCAGCCATACTCAGTTAACTGAAGTCTGCTGTCAATTCTTAATAGAAATTTCCAGGATTTTTACTCTTAAGCTTCAGAGTCTAATCACTTGTGTCACTAGAGTATACTTTCATATTACAAGTATACTGCTTTTAATTGATCTTGCTGCTCAGCTCTAGAGTGAATGTCCTGGGATGCAGGGTATATTTTGAGACTGCAGTGACACTTAGACATCTGTAGAGCTGTTTGATTACTTCCTCTCAGGTAAATTTATTGTTAGGTAATCTTTTCCTTGCAAGCATTGGAGTTGTCTACTCTGTTACGTCTAATGGCACTGCAGAGGTGAGTGCTTGCAGGTGTTGTGTATTAGCAATTTAATCTTAACAACATTTTAAAAAAGCTTATCCTGAAAATGTGAATTTACTAAATTTCCATCCATGTCTGCTTATTTTTTATGGAAGATGGAACAAAATGCTAAGCTTGATGTAAGTGAATGTCCTTCACAGCCATAAACTTTATGGCTATCCAGGCACAGATTTTTGCCATTTTCAGGTACTGCAGCTGTCAAAGGGGCTGTTCATGCAGTTTGTTCTGAAAGAGGGATGGAGATAGTTCCTTTCCAATTTTCTGGATTTATTATGCTGTGCAAATGGAATGCATTGCTGTTTCCACAATTACTTGATTTCCTTTATGTAGTTCCCAGATCATGAATCCTGTTCCACCTGTTTCCTCACCACCTCTAACTGCTAAGACAAAGGAGCTTTCAGACAATGAAAACCTTGATGTAAGTTAAATGTGTTACCTGGTACTCTTGATACTTCAGGCTTTTTAGTGACATTGTACTGTTATTAGGTTTTGTTTGTGAATATTGGAATATTTCTACTGTGTCTTGCTGCATACGTAAAGTACTCAAATAACGTAAATGCAAACTAAATGCTAAGAAAACAGAAATAGCTTAACTGATTTTTTTTTTTGTTCCACAACTGGGGGACTGAGCACTGAATTCTTAATGAAATAAATTTTCTTTAAAAGAAGAAAATTACTACAAAGGCTGTCACAGGCTAGTTAGGTACTGACAGTGCCATGTACTGAGCTGTTTCAAAGCAGATTGTTCAATGGAAAACAGTTACCCAAAGGTTTTAATATCTGGAGTCTGTTCTTCCTGTACCCATGTTCTCTGGTACGGGTTTCATCTATTAAACCTGAGTGAGACTCTGTATTGATTTATATCTGCCAAAGAGTATACTCAATTTATACCACCACTAGAAGAGTAAGAAAAATGGGACTGGAGAAAGGGAGAATTACAAGAAAAAGACAGTTTCAGGGAATCTGATTTTAATCTGATGTGCAGTTAATTAGTCTTTGAGCTAGAGATTACTCTGTTGCAAATTTTCCTTTCTTAGGCCTTAGTACTTGAGAAAATAAGTCTCAAGTTGAGCATATTGGTAAAGATACAGATTTCTTGTTAGTTGGAATATTAAACCTTGAAAAAGTAACTAAATTATGTGTATCCTCTACAGATATGTTCCTTATGTTGAAATATAGAATATCCTCATGAGTTCCAGATCCTGTGGAGGTAAAACAAGGTAGCAGGTCCCTTTTGAGGTTGAATCTTACAGCAGTTACATTTGAGGAAAGGATAATACATGATAAATAGAAACTTGACATTGAAGATTCATGTTGGAGAAAATAATGTACTTCTGACATGTTCATAAATACATTACAATAGTAGCAGGTGTGTTTTCATTTCTAGTGTTCTCACTGCACTTGTTTGGATTAACATTAAAACTGATAGAGTTTAAATATTAGGTTAAATTGTATTCAGCTTTTAGAAAAGAAAGTATCTCTCAAAGGTCCCTGCAAATACTTGGTGTTTTTCTCCCAAGGGCTCCGACTTCTTTATAACTTGTATTTGCTTTCCTTAAATCCCTTCCAGCAAGACCTTTGCACTTTCTTGATTTCACGAGCATGCAAAAATTCCACTCTGGCAAACTACTTATACTGGTAAGTTAGAAACTATTTATTCATACTGTATCGGCATCTTAAGTCTAATTGAAATCAAAGCTATAAAGCCCAGAAGGATGTACAGCAAAAGATGGCCTGTCTTGAGAACCTGTGAATCTCAGTTTCTGTCAGGATGAAGTAGTAGATTTCAAACAATACGCATTTCAACAGAATAATTAGTAGAAGGAGAGTTCTGGTTTTTAAAATGCACAAATGTGCTTTACTAGTAGACAACAGAAGGTGATTTGTAGAGCATTAAGTACAGTGTTTAAAAAAAACCAACAACAACTAACTCATTTAGAAGTTGTCATCCATTTTGTTTATGGTGTGGGAAGGAGGTGAATTTCTACTCTACTTTTATGTTTGGTTTGTGTTTCTAGTTTTTTGACAGTGTTAACTAGAATATTAAGGTTATGCACTTTGGTATTAATCAGGGTTGTACTTTCTGAAAGTTCATGAAGTACAGAATTTTGTACTAACCTAAGAGTTTTTTAGGTTGCATTTGTGATTATTCTATGAAGAAAAACACTGTCATCGCAGATGTGTGCTTTCTTAAGGGGGGATCTTAGTTGGGAATAGTTCCTCTAGATAGCGTAGAAGTAAGGTCATGCAGCTAAGGATCTTGCCTCACTGCATTGGTTTAGGTGCCAAACGTGGTGCCTAAACTAGTCATTTGCATGTCTTTTGAGTATGTGTTGGAAATAAAATTATCTCATGTGAAGAAAACTGGGGTGAATAGAGCTGGACTCTGAAAGTATGCATGAATATGTCTATATATTTATGTATGTATATGCATATCCACAATGCATACATCTATTTACTTGTATATACACACATATTTTAACACAGAGCTTAGATGCCCCTTACATGGCTAAACTTAAGTCAAATGATTCTAATTTGTATCCTTTGTAGATACATCTAATAATTAAAAATACCCATACACATATTCATATGTTAATTTACTATCAATTTTAAGCCATGAATTAGGAAGAGTGTGATATGTGATGTAAATCTATTAAATTTATAAAACTTCTACAAGAATCCTAGCCTACCCTGAGAGCAAGTCCATTTGTAAATGCCTTTTTAAGTTTTAGTAGTTGATTGCTTTTTCAGTAGCTTAAATTTAGAATAAGCAAGTGCATGACTTAACTACAGTTAGTGTATAGGCTTATTTTGCAGCGGCCAAAGATAATGCTTGGCTTCAGAAAGAAGTGCTATTAAATTTAAGTGATTAAAATAATTGCAGGGTGAGTTGATGTGGGTAGAAACTTTGATTAGCTTGAGCTAATCAAATATTCTTCATTAAATTAAGTGTTAGTAGGTTAGCTTACTTGTATAACGTAGATAGAAACTGCACTTATATTTTCCAGCATCTTGGAATTTTGGTCTAAAGAAAGTTCAAAGCATCTGGAACTCTGAAGGTTTTTTTTCTTATGATTAAAACCAAAAAAATGGAAGGAAAAAAAGGCAAAAAAACCCCCAACCCAACACACAAAAAACCCTCAAACGGTCAATTTATTCTTTGTTTTCTTTCCAGACATCTCAATTTCTCAGTGACAAAATAAAAGTGTTGCAGCCACTGTTAAAAGATGGCATAGCCATAAATCCTCTTGGCTGCTGATCAATTGCTTGTTTCAGCTATCCAGACACAGCACACACCTAAAATAATCAATGGAAAAAGTATAATAACCCTTGAAAATCAAACCTCCTGCTCATTCACTTGTCATTGTAAAGTAATCCTATTGTTATATTTTAATAGTGCCTACAGAAGTAAGTGCTTCTGCTTTTGTTGTCTCCTCTTTGGCTGTCTGAGACACTTAGCCAAGTATGAAGCATTGCTCTTACTCCTGGTTTCAAGATAGCTTTGAGAAACCAGGGCTTTTTAACAAATCAAGATGAAAATGATGTTTCAGTTAATTTCTTCCTGTTTTCCTTTAAGTTTTGGTAAATGTGTAAATTTTTTAAATGTATGCATGTATTTTTACACATTACTGCAGTCTAAATTTTCTTTCTGGTGAGGCAGTGGTGTAGAATATATTAGCGCATTTCTAAAATTAATGTCTAGTAATAGATTTAATTAAGATAATACTGATGTAATAAGATACATATGCTTTATTTTAGTGTATATAATATATTGTGTATTTATAAATCAGACCAGTCAAATCTGATCAGCTGCAAATGACAGACTTCTAATCTTGTACCATACTCATTCAGCTGCAAAGATATTCTGCACGAGTGAATTAGGAAAGGGTAATTCTGTAAATTTGTCAGCATAAAGTCTACGTGTGCTTCTAGAACGTGTGGAGTCACTTTTGAGTTCAAATCCATAGCACCCGACTTGCTAATTTCTTCCTTTCTTAGCAACGGGTAAAAAACAGTAGTACTTTTTAGTACTAGGAGATGCACTGAGCAACAGAAGGAAGACGTGTGCATAGCTACTTTCTACTTGTCAGTGCTGCAAATAGAAGTAAACATGAAAGCATTCCAAACAACTTCTTAACATGCCAAAATAATTTTTTAGTATAACTGTCACAAATGGTATTCTTTAAATCCTGTACCTGAATCATAATTTTCAAAATAAAAACTTATTTGGAATGTGGACTTCGCAGAGCTGCTTCAGGACCAATGCTGTCTCTTCCACCATTGCTAATGGTAAAATAGGGAACAGAAGAGGTTCTTCCTGGGTTTGCAGGTATACTTGAATAGCAAGTGGTTTAGCCACTATATTATGTAAAGGGTAGTAACATAACAGGATGTCCACTCCTGCACTGCTTGGTTGGAATGTTGATATGATTTGGGCTTCTGACTCATCCTGTCTGAGTGATGCCACTTCACTGTAAGTGAAAGACTTAAGGAACTTTGATAGACTTCTGATCCAGGTGGGAATTTGACTAAGCAATTTTGAGGAGTTTGTCTGTTGGTGAATGCCTCGTTCAAAGATTGTCTTTATTTTTGGTTCCAGGCCTCTAACACATAGCTACTGTTATTTCAGTCAAATTCTGTAGTACAGCATAACTTAGATTGTTTTTATGTTGCAGGTATGTAATAGTGGAGTGTGAAGACCAAGACACTCAGCAGAGGGACCCAAAGACTCACGAAATGTACTTAAATGTGATGCGAAGATTTAGTCAGGCTTTGCTGAAGGTAATGTTTCTGTGTAAGGAAATAGTTATTTTTTTTTGGGATAGTCATTCTTTAAAGAGGTACAGATGCCTTGAAGGAGGACAGTTTTCCATGTCAGATGTATTGAAAATCTGAAAAAAAAGTTTTGCCTTTAGCTTGATTTTTGAGTTTGTTTGTAAACCAAAGAAACTATGAAAGAAAAAAAGGTTTGAGAACGTTTTCATGCTTATTTGCATTAGTAACATGCTGGTTCTAAAATCGTCTGTGTTGTGTATCCATTTTTTAAAATTTAATATTTGTTTATTGGAAGAACTTGTCCTTGCAGTGTAAATTGAAACAGTTTAGTGTGACTTGTCATTAATTCCCGGGCAGTGTTGTTCTTTGTATCAGCAGCAGAGGGTGCTGGAGGTGAAAAGCAAATCCAAACAGACAAAAAAACATTTTGTGACTTACCGTCTATAATTTGTAGCAGATATTGCAGCCTTTCCTGGTGTTAGTATATCTTACACTTCCTCAGAATTACCATGTTAAGAGATGTCACTCAAATCTGACTCCTACACTTTATAAGACTTTATAAGACTATTTCACATGCTTATCCTCACTAACTTATTTTGGCTGTGTGAACAGGTTTGTCATAGATGGCTGTGCACCACTGAAATAGTTGATGCAAATTGAAGTGCACTAGTAGATCAGATAGCTGATTGCCTGCTGCAGTGATTCTGATTGTGTTTTACAGAAAACACCTTTTGGATTGACAGGAAACTGATCATGGTTCGCATACCTTTTAGAAGGCCAAAGGTCTAAACATAAAGAAATAATTTCTGGATAAAATAATTATAGAACAAAGAACTGATTTTGTTTCTTTTAATTCACTTAGGGTGATAAGTCTGTAAGAGTTATGCGTTCGTTGTTGGCAGCCCAGCAGACATTTGTAGATCGGCTGGTTCATGTAATGAAAGCGGTACAGCGTGAAAGTGGGAATCGAAAGAAAAAGGTAACTAAAGGTTTGGAAAACTAATCTCTGGCTGGGATGTGACAGTTGGAACATAGCCTTTCACTAAAAATTCCTGGCACTGACATTTATAATAGATATACACCTGTCATGAAATAATTTTAGCTAACATCGAACAAAGTTTCTAGAGGCTTAGATGGGTCAGAGGGCCAAAGTGTTACGAAAGTTTGTAGATTATAAACAGAAGAGCCACTTGGAAAAAAAAAATAAAATTGGGACATTTTGGCAAAAGGAAGATATGAAAACAATTGAATAGCTGATGATGTAACTGAAGAATTTATGGGGGATATGGGAAATTTGCAGAGGTTTTTAAGGTGTGAGAAATATGCCAGTGTAGATACTGAAATTTGGCTAGCAGCAAGGTTTCATTTGTTCCAAGAGCAATAGAACTTTTATTTGCTAAGCTACATGTTCAGAACATTTGTGTAAGTCTACTATACCTGGCACTTAATAAAATTGCTTAACTATACTTAGATGAGAGGGAGTATTTGCCTTCTTATTCAGATTACTGCAAACTGAGAATTTTTATTTCATTGGGTTTTAAGAGTACAACCGTGATACTTCAGAAGAGTAAAGATTTTAATAAATTGGATATTTATTAATAGTACACACTTAAAAAACTTTTGAAATGTTCATAGAAACCTAGTATGTGTTTTATTGTTGTTTTTTTGAAAACCAATTTTTTATCCTTTTAGAATGAGAGACTTCAGGCATTGTTAGCAGATAACGAGAAGATGAATTTAGCGGATATGGAACTTATTCCACTTCCTCTGGAGCCTCAGGTGAAAATCAAAGGGATAATCCCTGAAAAAGCCACACTCTTCAAGGTGAGTTCTTCTGAATAGCTGAAATACAAACAGACCTTATGAGCACAGACCTTAGAAACATCAGTTGAAAGATTTGAAGGAACTGACATAGTTGAGGCAGAATGTAATGGCTGTGTGCTCTTAAAATAATTAAACAACTCACTTTCTTTGTGAAACACTCTTTTTTTTAAGTTGAATCCAGGTTGCATTCTCTACCAATTAAAAAGTTTTCAGGCTGCTGTGAGAACTCATATTGGTTTGTCATCTCTGTCACCTCATAAATTTATTATGCCCAGTAGTTTCAAACTTTGACGGGGTGCATGTTGATAGTGCTACAATTCGTGTTTACTTTAATTAATTTGAGATGGACATTTTTGCATGGTTTTCTACCATACCGCCTCTTGTTTTTCCAGATAGTTCATATTTGTCTTCTGCAGCAATGTAGAAAATTTAGGACCAGAAATCTGAGATGTAACTTACTATAAAATCAGAAGTTCTTTTGATCCTCTTGATTCTGAAAGGTTGCAAGTTTCCCTTTATCTCTCAATCAGTACTATTAGATGAAAACCATACAAACCCAAAGAGGGAAGAATAGCTAGTTTTTTGGTGCTTTTGGACATCACGTGGCAGCTTGTATAGGACTGTTTAAAGAATATGTTTTCCTTTATTTATCAAACTTAATTTGAAAACATGCATTGCATGGGAGAATTTGATGTAACTGCTCATATAGTAAACTTTGTATTCCTTTATTTTGTTTTGGTTTTAAAGCAAGTGACTAGGTCAGTTGCAGTAGATGAAATCATTCATGTAGGTAATTGATCCCCTTCAACCCATTTTATGCAGAGAAATTGAAAACAATTACATTGACTTTCTCAAACAACAACGTAAAAGGTGTTTTTGTGTTTACTAAATAGATTAAGGAAGCAATTAATTGTTTAAGATGTCTTGCTCCTAGCATTTATTTGATGTTTACCCTGTAATTATGCCTCTTTCTGATCTGGTCAGTTTAAAGTTGTTTTGTTGTGACCTTTTGCATAGTGTTTCTGTGTTGATTTAAATCACGTGCCTACAAACAAAATTTGAATCCATCTGTCCTTTCCTCTTCATCTGCAGGGGGTGGGATGGGGAACATATCCTTCTCACCCCTGCTACAAAAACAAGGAAAGCTGTAAGATATTAAAAAAAAAAAGACTATCACACTTGGTAACTGGAAATAGCATGTTCTAATTGTTGAGTCCTAGACAGTGAGAAACTGCTTTTATAAACTTAAGATTTGCTTCTTATTGCCTAAACTTGAGGAATATAAAAAGAGCTCTGCTGCTTACTGCCATACGGTTGGCAGTGGGACTATTCTAAGACTTTTTCTAACTGAAGTTGATATTTGAGTCCTAGGACCTGATACTGGGTTAATTTGCTTGTGATCTACAGTGCAGAAAAAAAAGATTTTAGAACTCTACTGCATCAACACATTAATATGAACATTGTTGTGAACCGGCTTAGTAGAATTAAGTTTCCTTTTCCAGAGTGCCTTAATGCCTGCTCAGTTATTCTTCAAGACGGAAGATGGAGGCAAATATCCTGTAATTTTTAAGCATGGTGATGATTTACGTCAAGATCAACTTATTCTTCAGATTATTTCACTCATGGATAAGGTGAGAATTATTAATGCACATCCTTATCCTGTGTTCTTGGTTTTCCTCGGTGAGAGCAAGATTGTTAAAAAGTTTAAATGGACATTATATTGCTAAAAAATGCCACAGTTCTCAGATCTCGGGTGACTTTTTCTTTCTTTATAGACCTGCAATGGTCCTGTGTAGATTTGAATAAATAAACTGGCAAACAAGCCTTCACTCATTACAATTTTAGTGAACAATAAGATCAATGTCCAATATACATTCCTTTTAGAAATAGAATCTGCTTTTATGTTATTGTATCATTCATCTTTGCTTTCATGTGGTTTTGGTTTTTTGATTATTTTTTTTTCCAGCTGTTAAGAAAAGAGAATCTGGATTTGAAGCTGACACCCTATAAAGTGCTGGCGACTAGTACAAAACATGGTATGAACGCTTTGTTTTTAGGAAATAGTAGTACTGGGAGAATCTTCTGTTCATAGTCTGTTGTGATACACTTGTTTTCATGGGAGATATTTTGATTAGTACAGTATTCTAAAAAGGAGATCAAATGTTTAAGAAAATCTTGTTGTAGTGTAAGTCATGGAAGTAAACTGAGTGACCACAGTATTCACAGGGGACTCAAATATATTAATAAAAGAAGCCTAGTCTGGATTTTGGAATATGTGACAATCGGTGGTATTGGTTTTGCTGCTAGGTTGTGTGAAGCAGGACACATTTATAGATGTGACCCTATTTATAGATCTTTGCATGAAGTGGAGGAAAAAACCTAAAAAAAAAAAAAAGTACCAAACTTGGCTATACTTTTAATACATTTGCATAAATACTTAGAAAGCTATTGGTTTATCTCTTCTCAAGAAAACTTGGAACAACAGACTTTTGCAGCTAATTTGCTGATAGTGACAAGTTGTTTTAGAATTACTGAAGGCAGAAAATGGAGACAAAAGATTTTTTTTGCCAATGTGAAGCAGTTGAATGTAAGTATGTATCAGTGTAGCCCTTCAATAAAGGTGTTGGAGGAGCTTGGATGTTTCATGTGTTGGAGATTTATTTTTTCCTCTTTTTTTTTTGGTCACAGGCTTCATGCAGTTTATTCAGTCAGTACCAGTTGCAGAAGTTCTTGCTACTGAGGAAAGTATACAGGTATGTGACAAGGGATTTTTAAGTCATTTTCTGATCAAACAGTGTAAATTACAAGCTTAGATCTCATACAGAAGTCTTCAGTCTCTCAATAGATTTTGGTATTTGTTGTTAGAAAATGAACAACAGCTTGAAAAATAAGGATATTGACAACACATGTTTTGCATTTAAAATATGTTTAGATTGCCTCTTGAATATCTCATGTTCTGAAAGCTATGCCATTAAATAATTAAGGGTAATGTTGCTGTGATACTGAAATTCTGGCTTTGCTGTAGCAATGGATGGAAGATGCATGACACTTTTCTGTACTAGTTTGTTTTAAAGTGTTTCTCATTCATTCAGTAATTTTGCCTTGATACTTTTTTGAAGTATGTTTTTATTTTTTATTTTTTTTAAATGAAACAGCAAAATAGTTTGTTCATATACTTTCTGAAACCGGTGACCAGCATCAAGTTGCATAAGTTTTTTTTATTTTTTCCATTTGTAAAAATTGTGATAACCTGCATCTACTCATCCAATAGTCAGTTCATAAAAGTGTTTTCTTTGCAATCCTTTGTAGTCTTGGAAAGGTATTACTCATATTCTAGTCCTTTATCTGTTTTTATAAAATTATATATTTAGAAATGCTAGAAAAATTGTAGTTTTGCAATTACATACAACATCATATCTGAATCTAAAACCAGTGCCCCATTGTATTATTTGCTGCACAGACATAAGGAGCAGTTCTTCCTGTGAAGAATTGCTGATGTAAATGAAGAATACTCCAAAATAATGTTGTCTAAGATTACTTCATAGATCAATGGCAAAATACATTATAGAGCACAAATTTTCTGTACTATGAAGCTTGTTAAAATAGCTGGGCATTGTAGTCCAAGGAAATAAAAGCTGAATGAACATTTACAGGTGTTAAAGTTTTATTTATTATTTTTGTAAAAGTTCATTTTGGGTGTCAAGAGCTGTTTTAATAAAGGTGAGCACTGTATCTAAAGAATAAAAAATAACTTAATATTGGCTAGTAGTGCATGTCTGCAGGAAAGAAAAAAAATGTTTTGAAGTTAGAATATTATGTACCTTCCAGCAACAATTTCTATCAATCTTGAAATTACAGTTGGTCTTTTGGAGGTATCTCTTCCACTCTGCAGTTTAGCATTTGGATGGCCTGAAGTCTGTTATTTTAAATTTATATATACAACATGTAAAATTTTGGAGCACCAAAAGTAGATCTCTCTCGTATCCTTTTAACCAGTTAAACACTTCCTTCCACTTACTCATTTTCATATAATATATTTCATATAATAGAAGATTTCTACTCTTTCAGCTTCTTAAATATACCTCAGCAGAGCTTGTTCTTTTGTATGCAAAGACAATTAACACTTCATCCAGTCCTCCTGGTACATGTTACATTCTTGCTTTGCAAGCAGAACTTTCTTAAATAACCTGCAGGTACCTTCCTTCAGTATCTACTTTTCTTTTGTAAGAATCCCCTATTTTATTTTATTTTTTCATGTGGATTTTAGTTGCATTTGTCATTCAGATACTTACAAAGTACCTTTTCTGGTGCTTGCTTACCTTTATGTTTGCTTATTGGAAGAAACTTGTGCTTAGGCTTGGATATAATTTATTCATCTTTTGTATGAGTCAACAAAGACCTGATTTTCTTCTGAGTAGTAGGAAGGACTTTTTTTACCCTTTCCACATTTTACAGGAAATGTGAAATGTCCATTTAACTTAAATTTTCCACTAAACTCAGTGGGGGTTGGTTGTGTTATCATAGAATCACAGAATGGTTTGGGTTGGAAGAGAGATTAAAGATCATCTAGCTACGGCCTTCTACCTCCCCATAGACCAGGTTGCTCCAAGCCCCATCCAACCTGCCCTTCAACACTTTCAGGGAGCTGGCAGCCACAGCTTCCTGGCCAGCCTGTGCCAGTGGCTCATAACCAACAGAACAAATGATTTCTTCCTAATATCTAATCTAAATCTACCCTCTTTCTCTTTGACATTGTTGCCCCTTGTCCTCTTGCTATATACCCTTGTAAAATTCTCCTCTCCACTGAAGACATTGGAACATTGAGTAATTTGACAATGGATAATGACAAACTTTGTAAGGGTGTTTGTCTGAAATTTAGGTAAAAGCTGAACTGTTAGTTCCACAGTTTCTTGTGGAAGTGTTTTGCACTCATAGTTATTTTCCAATGAACTGTTAATTTTGTGAAGCTGTTAGTAAAGAACACTGCTTTTCTATTTGAATTTCACATCTGTGTCTATTAAGTAAAAGTGTATAGCAATTAAGACAGAAAATAAAGTGATACAAATTTAAGTAAGAATGTACTAGGTTATTTGAGAGCCATTGTGTAGCAGATCATAGTAACAGCCATTTGTGGTCTGGATATAATTTTTTTTTTCCACCAGTTCTAAAGCTCCTGTTTCAGATAACTGTTTCTGATCATGTGTAGTAACTAAATTTGTTGATAATATCCTCCAGAACTTCTTCAGAAAACATGCACCTAGTGAGACTGGCCCTCATGGAATAAGTGCAGAAGTGATGGACACATATGTTAAGAGCTGTGGTGAGTTACAGTCTTACGGTTGGTAGTTTGGTACCTGAGGTTTCTTCTGCATCATGAGGTTGCACCTCTATAATTCAGGGAGATTTGAAGCATTTATACAATAATTTATTTTTAGACCATGGAGGGGTTTTTGGGAGTGAGGCTACGTTTGACTTTTTAGAATACAAGAAAAAGTGGTAATGGAGTTCTTGATCAGTAAGCTGATGGATATGTTAAAATGTCACAACTGCTGTCCATTAAATTAAAACAAGTTTATTCAATAGAAAAAAATAAGTAATTCAGTTGTTGCTCCATAGTACCTTCTCCTTTTCCCTTTTCTTTCTGATGACACGGTCTTTAGAACTGCTTCAGACTGTTTTGTTAGTGGATGGAAGTAAGAATCAAAATGGTTTACATTGGTTACAATTTATCACTGCTTGGCTTACTCTTAGTTTGTGAATACTGCTGATGCATACATTCAGATTCATACCAGTGTCTAATGCCTGTTTATAGTTTTGTCTTCAAATCTTAAGTTCAAACTCTCAGAATCCCAGAATATTACGGGTTGGAAGGGACCTTCAAAGATCATTGAGTCCAACCCCCCTGCCAGATCAGGACAAAAAAAACCCAAAAAACAACTAGGGCAGATCACCCAGAAAGGCATCCAGACAGGGCTTGAAAGTCTGCAGAGAACGAAACTCCACAGCCATTCTGGGTAGCCTGTTCAGTGCTCTGTAACCCTCACAGTAAAGAAGTTCTTCTTCATGTTGAGGTGGAAATTCCTGTGCTCAAGTTTGAATCCATTTCCCCTCGTCCTATCACAAGGCACAAGTGAAAAGAAGTTGTCCCTGCCTTCTTGGTGCCCAGCCCTCATTAATTAGAACCCCCTTCAGTCTTCTCTCTATACTGAAAAGCCCCAGGCCTCTCAGTCTTTCCTCAAAAGGCAGATGTTGCAGTGTTGTAATCATCTTTGTAACCTCTGTTGGACTCTCTGAAGTGGATCCCTGTCCCTCTTGAGCTGGGGAGCCCAGAACTGGACGCAATATTCCCAGGGAGGTCTCACTGGGGCCGAGTAGAGGGGGAGGAGAACCTCCCTTGATCTACTAGAGACACTGCTCTTAATGCATCCCAAGATACCACTGGTCTTCTTGGCCACAAGGGCTTTTTGTTGTCCCATGGGTAACTTATCTACCAGGACACCAAGGTCCTTCTCCACAGAGCTGCTCTTTAGCAGATCATCTCCTGCCTGTACTGGTGCATTTTGTTGTTCCTTCCCAGGTGCAGGACTCTGCACTTGCTCTTTTTGAACCTCATGAGGTTCCTCTTTGCCCAGCTCTCCAGCCTGTCCAAATCTCCCTGAATATATGTAATATATGTGTGTGTGTATGTATGTATATAAATACACGTATATGAAAATATGTATGTTCTTTCTGCTCAGAATGCTTACTCTTTCTTTGAAGTATCTTAATCCCAATATTTAATGAATTTAGTCCTTTAGTCTTAGGCATATAATTGTGGAGGCAGAAAAGAAAATCTAGGCAATACTGAATAAAATTTAGAGTTTTAGTTTATTACTTCAAATGTTCATAGTGCTGATACTCTAGGATTCTTCACCGGCACGACCCCTGTCCTCGGACTCGATGGTACATTTGTTATTTGTGAACAAGGAATAAGATAATGTCATATGCTGTTTTTAATTATGTGAAATTTGTTGCTCTCCAGGAAAGGTACTTATATTGATATTTATTTGTTACAGCTGGTTATTGTGTAATTACTTACATCCTTGGTGTTGGAGATAGACATCTGGATAACCTTCTGCTAACAAAAACAGGTAATTCTTTTTCGCAGTATAATTTTATCACAGCAGTTGTTAAATTTCTAATGTGTTCCTCCTTTTTCCTATTGAGTATAACATGCTGAGTATTGTCGATTAGAGTGTATATTTCAATGCAAAGTTATATTGTCTCATCTAAGGTAGTATTTGATGCAGTGAATCAAAGTTTAGGTTTAAACTATGAGCTAATAAGTGGCAGTTCAAGAATAGGAAAGCAAGTAGATTAATCACATGTTAGTAGGCAAGATACCGTGTGTGTCTGATACATTGTTTTGATGTCAGTTGAGGAACCATTTATGTGTTTGTAGGTAACAGAAGTCTAACTTCACATCAACACAGGCATGTTTATAAACACTGAGATTTGTGTATAGTTTTCAGTTGTCTTATTTTACAGTTGTCTTCTGCCATCTCATTTTTGTCCTGGTTTGAACCAGGACGAAGCCAACTTTCTTTTTACTGCTTTTTTTTCTTCAGTGAGCTCTCTTTTAACTAGCAGCAGTTTTCCAGCTAGAGGACTGATAATGCTGGAATGTTTATATATACTGCTAAGACACCGAGGACACTTGGCTTCAGTTCTAGATACGAAAGAAGAAGTCACATCTGCAACCCTCCCATATGGAGGAGTGGACTAGACTTCTTTCCTTCCTGCTTCTTCTTCCCTTCTCTTCCATCCATGGCTGGCACCTAGGGAGGACACCATCTATCCATCACCATTGATCCCTAGGCCTGTGCATTCCTGACCCTCATAACTCTCCCCTCAGCTCCTGCCTGCTCTGCTGCTCTCTGCAGCAGCTCTGGGACTTTTCAGAACTGCTCACAGCTCAGGAGATGCCGTGGGAGTTGGTGGGGGTGGAGGGAGGCAGTAGGTTTTGCACATTCCTGCACATACTTGTATATATTTTTACGTATTTTCTTTTATCAGTAGTATTTAATTAAAGTTGTCTAGTTTAGTTTTCAATTGGGAAAGTCTCTCCTTATTCTCTCCCCTTTCCCTGCCTGGGTGAGAGGGGAAGGGAATCAAGACGGTTATTGTCACTGTGATTGTTGATCCTGAGTCAAACCATGACAATTTCTTACACTGAAAGCTTGATCTGTTGGTTGTTTCTGTCTAAACTCTTATTTTCTTGACTGATGCTTTTTTTTTTTTTTTTTGAAAGTAATATGTATTTAACATATGGTAAAGTTTGACTGCCTTTACCTAAGACAATTTCACTGTTATCTTGAACTTTGCTAAAATCATAATTAGGTCTCTTTCAGAACTCCTGGTTCAAAGCTGGAAGAGTAATGCATTAAAAATATTTGTGACTGCAACCCCAAATATCCTATTTGACCTTTATAAAACCATTTATTTTTAATTAAGTTATTGCATTAATGTTTAGTACTTTAACATGCTATCATAAAAGATAATCAAAATGCCCTGATTGGATGCCAGATGTATTTTAACAGTTTCAAGTAATTCTGCTTATTTTCATGTATGCTATTCTGAACACTGCAAATGTTTAGACAATAAAGTGGTTATAATCTTGGTGACTTCTCTGAGACCTCCATGTGAATTCTTGTCTCAGATTTGAGTTTCTTTTGAAGAAAGTGGTTCCATGAGCTTTCCATGTCTTTCTAAGAAACTTTCATGGTATGTCCAGGAGAAAGTCATGTGAGAACTGTTGGAGCAGGACTCACTTCAGTATTTTCTGTTCCTTAAGAATATTGCGTTTTTGTTGTAAAAACACTATATAGCAAAAATCCTAAGTGTTTCATCATCAGCCTGGGTTGGATGCAGCATTCAGACCAAGTTGAACTATATATTTTTTTAATTAATTTCTAGAAACAAGGGAACAGACTTAGAGTGTAGACAGATGAATTAGAAATTCACAAATGTGGTAGTAAAACTTGCTGTTTAACCAAGTACATCCTTTAGTTTGCAGCAAAACTTGTGTATCCGAGAAGCTCAAAGTTGCTGATAGGTGTCTTGATACTCCCTGACTTGTTTTAACTCTCTAATGGTATTTTTTTGTTGCCATCTGTATGAATTAATAATAGAGCAGATGGAGTGACTTACTCTCTACTACAGGAAATGAAAGATTTGAAAATTAAGCTACTTAAACTATTACAATCAGTGCCTTGGGTTGGAGGGAAATTAGAGTTTCCAGGGTATATGAGTTTGTATGTAGGTGCATGAACTTCGAGATCTGTTTCTTGTTTGTTGGTGGTTGGATTTTTCTTGCTTACTTTTGAACCACAGCATCCCATAGGAGTTCTGGTGCCTTGAATGCCTTATTTACAGTGTTGAAGAGTTAATAGTTGTGGTTGTGAAGTATTTATTATAAAGTGGGACGTTTATTGAATCAGAAATGTGTAAAAAACCAAAACAAAATAATTTTGGGGAAATAAGACACATGTACATGAAGGGCTTTTTAGTTTTCAGATGAGGTTGAAGCATAATATTACTTTGAATCATCATGTTTTGTATGAAAGAGTAGAAAATTAACCATTAGGCCTTGATTAGGGTAAAAAAATCTTTGAGCACATGGGGAAGGAACTGAAGCCAAGTGTATTTTTCCTTATCTACTTGGAAATGAATAAATGGGCATTTAGACATGTGTTTTGTGATACCTCTATAATTTCTCTAAGGTGTTGGGTATAAATCTGTCCATAGCAGGCACTGCTTACATACTCAGTGCTGTAGCATTTTACATTTTTGGGAGGGGTTTAGTTAATCTTGCCTGTTACAAGTTGCAGCAGAATGTCTGTTTGGCTTTCGTGGAAGGATTTGAACAGCACAGCAGAGGGCAGCACACACCCACTAGGAATTCTGGCTTAGACTGTCGTCATGTGCTACTAGTGCTCTGGCACGTACCAAGAGAGGGTTTTTAAGCTATCAAGAGAAATTCTTATATGTCAAATACAACAAAGGTTTTCTGCAAAGGTTTGTTTCTTGCTACTGAATATCCCGTAGGCTTAAGTTAGCTTTTTCTAACTTAATCCTTTTATTGAAAAATGGAAGCTTTAAGTATCTTTCTTCAAAATTACGTGACCACATATGTGTCCTTTCTGGATGTTATTTGTTTAATGAATTGAAGCTTTCCAACACGGTATAAAATGCTGAGTACCAGGTTTGAGTTCACATACTTTTCTTGGATTTATATGACAACATACACTGTTACCTTCTGCAGCACTACCCATTAGTGTGGTGGATATAACCACATCTATGTTGGACTCCTTCCAAACGAATTCTTGCATCATCTCCTAATAGATGTCCATGCTTATAATAGATCTGGTAGAATTTAAATATTTAGCAGTAGATACTGAACTTCACTGAAAACCTGTTCCCCACTCAGTATTAGAAATTTATTACTTTGCATTGTAGGATGAGAAAGTCCGTTACCAAGGTGAACTAATTTCTACTGTCTTTCATGACTGTTTTATGCCTCTAATCCAAGAAATAGAGTGACTTCTTTTAGGTAATCTTAAACAAGAAATCTTGTACAATTGTACTTAAAGGGCAGCTGTAGAAGTTTATTTGGAAACAGATAGAAAGAACCTTTAGTCAAAACATCCTCTTCTGTCAGTAATGTCAGAAGTTAGAATATTTGCATCAGTTTTACAGTGAGCCTTGTAACCTGAATGGCACATTCAGTGCAGTGTTGCAGGAATATGTTTTCAGTGAGAACTTTCAGCTTCATATTTCTCCCAGATAACAAATACGTTATCAATTGCTGTATGCTTTAATTTCTTAATTCCAGACCTACAACAGCATAAATTACTGTGACTTGTATAATAGCAAGACAGTGTTTTGCAGCTGAATACCCAGAATGTCAGTGCTTTGCTGTAGGATTGCAGACTGATTTATGTGTTACTGACAGTATCTTACCAGCTAATGTGCCATTTCTGGCCTTGGAAGGAGGAGCCTGGATGGTTGTGAAGCTGGATTGTGGTATACCAGATGCAGCATGTTCAGTAAACTTGCATTCTGTCTATATGTTACACTGGTGTGTTTCAATTCTGTCGTGCCTTCCCTTGGAAGTGGTTTCTTCTACATTTGTTACACTCTGCTCCTGATTGTGGAGTTGGGATCTAGCTACCTACGTAACTCCCAAATTTGGAAGTCTTCATGTTTACTAAGACTGTTGAAGCCTTAAGACAGTACAGTTGTCATTAGAACTTGATAGTGTTTCAGCTGTGATAGACAAGCAAAGATTCCTTGTCCCATTTGAGGTACCTCTGTAACTTCAGTTTGCTTCATAAGCAGACAGAGGTTCCACAAAGGCCCTGTCAGTTGTAGGCTATGTGTAGATACTTCAGGATATCCTAAGACAATAAAATGGAATTCTTGAGAGGTACTGCATGTGTTCATCTGAACAACTACTACTCACCCCTGTGACTGGCCAGCTTAATCTTTCAATAACCTTTAAGGACCCACCTCTAAGTTCTCATTGTAAGTTCCCTAAAATGCAGGCACTTTGATCTGAACTCTACACCTGAAATTGCTCTATAGCAGTAGAGTGGACTGCTACGTGGATAAAATTATGTTATTAATGTCTGAAAGCAGGTTAAAGACTTAGGGCTCATAACTTGAGAACTGCATTTTATTTTTGCATTGTGTGTAGACAGGTGGAAGGACTGGCCTGTTTTCTCATTTAACATTAGAGGTAGGGCTGTGATCTGTTTTCAGTGTGAAGTGCACCAACTGATATCTAATTTATTCTTCAGTTTCAGAAAGGGTTGTCAGGTAAGACAGCAGAGATCTGAACAGTTCCTTATGTGAGATGACACCATGTATCTGTACTTGAAGTGCTTATAACCATCTATCCAAAAGCAGGTCTGAAGATGATATAAATGGAAAAAACAAGGTTCAAACTCTCATTCTATTATCAATGCTTAAATAAGTACATTGATTTTTAAATTTTTTTCATGTTGCAATCTATTGTAGTACCTAAAATATAGCAAAATTTTAGAATGCATTTTTAAATGTTCTTGATAGAGGAACATCAATTTAAAAAAATACCACAAAGCAAACAAAACACAAAAAACAAAACCCACAAACAAAAAAACCTAAGACACTGTTATTCTTTAGATTTCTCTGCAACTCTAGATTCTGTGATGTCTAGCAAAGGGAGTATAAATTTTTAGCTGCTGTTCTGCTAAGACATTTTATAGGTAGCTTGAACAGTGTTTCTTATGTAATGACACATCTGAATTTTTTATTAATATGCCTACATGGAGTGTATTTTGAGAATGGACAGCTTGAGGTGTGAAGAGCACAAACTGTGCCCTTTTCCATTATATGGATGTCAAGGCTTTCTTATCAGTTCAAAGACAGTTGTCGTAAGACTGATTTTATTTTAGTAATTGCATCTAACTTGCCTTGTCTTCCACATTTTGTTTAAGAATGTTACAGTTTTGTGCAGGTTTTCACTAGTTTTTACTAGCAATCCTCTGGTGAAATAAAACAACTTCTGTGCAGCAACATCAGAACTTTCTCCTATACTAAAATCTAGATATTGGCAGTAAAAGCCATGGACAAGTCAGACTCTCTGTGTGAAGTCAGATGTTACTGGCTATTGCAATCACCAGGTATCAGGTTTTAGTCTCCGCAAATCTGTGCTTCACTTGATTGAAGATTGCTTCACTCTCAAGAATGAAAGAAACTCAGATGGACTTTCAAAGCCCTCATGCCCTGACTGCTAGTCAGGAACTGCTAGGGAACTCACATTTTTAAGTAAATGTGTAAAGGTTTCTGTATCTAAATATCAGAAATCTAGACCTAGTCCATCTATCTACTCTTACAAGAATGTAAGACGTTCAGAAGATGAAAACATCCTCACCTGTTTTCTTAAGTAACTTCTCTTAGTTTAAAACATGGCTCAAATAAAACCCCAAATAAACCCTCACCTGTATGTTTTATCAGTCATTCAGAAGCAGTAATAAACCAAAAGGAGAAGTCTGGTTTTGTCTTTAATTTATAAGCATGTCTAATAAATAGCCCTTATGTAGGAAATCTGAAGAAGATGGATTAGAAGCTCAGGTTAAAGACATGATGGTCTAAAGAGTTTGGAGTGTGTATTTTATGGCACTGTATATTGAAGGAAGGAAATGTAATTGTTTCATAAAACATGGACATTCAAAGCCTTTAGAAAAAGAAAAGCTGCATAAAGATCTCAAGCAGTCTAATTTACTGGGAGTATAGCTAGTAATTGTATATAAATTGTATGCTATGAGTGTGAATTATTGCTTGCAGCGAGAGTGATGGAGCACTGGTACAGGTTGCCCTGAAACGTCAAGTCCTGGAGTCACTGTCCTTGGAGATGTTGAGAAACTGTTTGGACACAGTCCTGGACATGACAGCTGGCTCTAGGTGGCACTGCTTGACGAGGAGGTTAGACCAAATGTCCTCCAGAGGTCCCTTCCAACCTCAAACTTTTCACCTCAACTATGAAATGAAAGAGTCATCTTCTAAATTCGGTTGACAACATATGATTCTTACAAAAAAAAAAACTGCAAAACTTTCAGGAGTTTTCAGATGTCAGCCACACAAGTTGTGTGACACTTCAGACTTGAAAACTCACTCAACACCTGCCCAAATAAGATGTCATTTCTCTTGTGACTATTTATCCTCTGTGATTACTAGATAAAGCTGGTTTTAAAGTATTGTCATACCTGAAGCTGGCAAATTTAGAATCAGTATTGTTTTGAGGAACTGTACTCTTGAAGAAAAAACATGTTTGATTTGACAAAAAAAAATAATTCTGAAGTTGTTACTGGCAACTTCTGCCTCCATTCTACAGATGCCAATCAGGAGTGATGGCTGTGTTAGGAAACATGCTATTCAAAGTGGAAGTCAGTTCTTACAGAATAAAAATTATCATTTAGTATTTTCTGTCCTCTCAAAATTTGTATTCAGTAGAATAATTTCTAGAACAAATTGATGTTATTTTTTTGTTGTTATTTAAAGTTCCTTTGCATACTGTTAGAGTGATAAAGTCTCTATTTTTATCTTGCTCTTTGTACTAATATCTTGTATTTTATGGCACCACTTTCTCCAGCCTGGTTCTTGTAATAGAACTTACACTAAGTGGTAGTCTAATGATCCCGTTCAGTAATACGGTGAAAGTGGGATGTTCAGTGTTATACTCTGATACAAATTTCACTTGGGATAATCACATGAGATACTTGCAGCCCTTTATCTTAGTAAGATTTCAAACAATCATGTTTCTCAACTTGGTTGATTTGTTATTTATTAGCATAAATAATAATATAAACTTCATTTAATTTTCAATATTAAATATATGACCAACTTCATTTGTCTGAAGTAGGCTTGTTCTTCGTTTATTCCAGTTGTAGTTAAGTCCTTGAGGAGAATTAAAGTCCATCTTGTCTGTATATAATGCTATGCAGAATGGCCTAATTTTATACTTTCTTTATAGCTATTAATTTTTGTGAATGAAGTATAACTTTTTGATTCCTCACTAATTTATATGAATATGTATCAGTCAGTTATTAAAGTGTTTTTTAATGTTTTAGATGCATCTTTGTTACCAATTTAAGTTATTAATTACAGCATCTTATTTCCTTTCTCCAGAGCAAAATAAAGATTTAATTGCAGCCACAAGACTTACTGTTTTATTGAAAATGTTGTCTCTTGACACATCAAGGTGACAGGTTTGAATAAGTGAACAGAAAGCAGACACCATCACCTCACCCCCAACTTTTTAATTAAACATTTTTTGTAAATTAATGGCAGGGTTGTGTTTTTATATATCAAAGTGCCTACTTCAAAAACTGAGTGTACAAAAATGAGCTCTGAAAATAACTCTTGTAACAGCTTGAAAAAACTTTTCAATGAAGTGCATTTATTTAGCACAATTAGGTATGCAAGATGTAATGGGTGTGGCATTTCTCACCTAGCAGATACTTTGCCTGAGTGTTAAATATCCTTGTGATCCGCCTTAGAAAATTTACTGTGCTCATTTTTTTTTCCTTACACCCATTTTTAAAAAGGTTAGAAGGGAGGACCTCTGTCACCCTCACCTCTGTGTCTGCGAAGATCATAGAACAGATCCTCCTCGAAGCTCTGATAGGGCACACGGAGAACAGGGAGGTGATTCAAGACAGCCAGCATGGCTTTATTAGTGGCAAATGCTGCCTGACCAACCTAGAGGCTTTCTACAATGGAGTGACTGCATCACTGGGCGAGGGAAAGGCAGTGGATGTCATCTATGTGAACTTCTGCAAGGCCTTTGTCTCAGTCCCCCACAACATCCTTCTCTATAAGTTGGAAAGATAAGGATTTTATAGATGGACTGTTTGTTGGATAGGGAATTGGCTGGATGGTTGCATCCAGACGGTAGTGGTCAATGACTTGATGTGCAAAGAGAGAGGCATGATAAATGATGTCCCTCAGGGGTCTGTACTGTGACCAGTACAAAGAACTTGTATTATATAACCATGCATTTCAACATTGGTTCGATATTTGTTAAGGTACTCTACATGTTTAAAAAGGAACAGCAGAAGAACCTCATCTTGTTCTTCTCTTAATGAATTTGAAATCAGCTTTATTTTTTAAAGACATAATTTCAAATTGGCAACTGAAGATATGAAATACACAATTATAAGTCTTACAGGAAAGTGACTTTTTTTTTCTTTTTTTTTTTTTTTTAGAGAACTTCTTAGCATCTTCTAGAGTTTGTGCTTATAGATATTTTTTGTTTCCAAGCTTTGCATCAAGATTTGAAACAATGTGAAGTGTTGATAATAGGTATTTATGTTTGTCTTTCCTTCTACAGGTAAACTGTTTCACATTGACTTTGGTTATATTTTGGGTCGGGACCCTAAGCCTCTGCCTCCCCCAATGAAGCTGAACAAGGAGATGGTGGAAGGTATGGGTGGCACACAGAGTGAACAGTATCAGGAGTTCCGTAAGCAGTGCTACACAGCTTTTCTTCATCTTCGCAGGTAACAGTACTGTTTTGATGTTTCAATTTTTAAAGTCACTATAAAGCAGCAGTGGAGTACATGAATGAGAGAAAATATTTGAGTTGAAAGCTCAAAAGTTCTTTGAAGTCTAAATGTTGGAATTTGTAAGAAGGAATGAAAAGATCACAGGATTGGTGTTATGTTAAGCTTAAATGTAATTGTCCTTCAAGTTGAAGTCCCCAGTTTTGCATGTTTAATAACTTAAATAGCTTTTTCATAACTCTTGCAGGGTGTTAAATTGTATCTTGCTATTTTGGATATTTTTTTGCCTTTAAAACAACTTTTTCTCTTGTTATTTCCCATCAAGTAACAGTCCTTTTAACTCTTAAGCCATTAATTGTTTGCTGCTTTATCCTTCTCCAGTTTAAATTAGTGATGATCAAATTCTTTAGCTTAAAGATGGCACTTACATAAGCTTAGCTGGGTCTTGTGAGACAAATTATCTACTTGTACTGACAGTCAGGTTTCTGTAGATACCCAGAACTGTGACAGCTAAAACCTCTTTAGACTGCATTTATTTGTGAACTAACAGACCTCTCCTTTAAACTTGGAATCAGCTTCATTCTTTTGAAATGACTGTATTACGTACCATCAACTTTCTGAGCTCAGATTTGTTCTGTTTGAGCAGAACATGGATAAGCACACTTGGTCTGTCTAGTGATTTGATTTAGTACGTCTTCAATAGAGATGAAAGAATTTCACTTTGGTATCAAGATCAAATAATATAAACCTTTAAATATGTGAAAAAATGTTAGCAATACAAAAAGTGTATGTGAAAATTAAAAGTAGTGTTAAAAGTAGACAGTCGATACAAATGCTGCATGTAGTTCTCTACTTGTGTAAAAGGAGAAAGGGTAAGTAGTTGTTTTATGAGCTGATACTATTTTTAATGGGTTAAAATCAGTTCAGTAGCATGAAAAAGCAGTGGCATGTTATTAGAAAATGATACTGATTATTTTAGAGAACAAGCAGAAGGGCTAATGTATATCCCATGTTCTAAATTTTGCTTAAAACTGTTTCATAATATCTATTTCTTATTTGTGAAATACTTTTTTTTCTTGTTGTTTAAACCTAGCTATTTCAATGAAAAGGTCTGTTCTGTCAGTGAAGGATTATCCACTGCATTCATTTATGTAATGATTTGCTACAAAGATCATCATTAAGTGTGGACTATAGCAGTAATTTGGCTATAAAACTAAACTGTAAATCAGGATGGTTTCATTTTTAATATCCAGGACTGTAGCTGTAATTATAGTTTCTCCAATGTTTGTTCAGAATAATAGGAAAGTATTTTTAAATGGTTCTGGATAAATATCTTTAAGGCTTTCAACAAAGATACTAGAGGATAATATTAGTATTACTATAGCTATTACTTAAGCAACTAGAACTAAAAATTAAGATTAGTTGCTTATTGAAAGAAAGAATAATTAGAAATGGAATAGCTTAGTTCTGCATGTTGACACAAACTCGTTCACAGATCATTCTTCTGGGTAAGCAGTGTGAAATCATAACCTCTGCTTGCTAAGACAGAATGCAAACTCTGTCATCTCTGTCAATTTGTTGTTGTTTTTTTTTTCCTTGGGGTTCAGAGAGTTCTCTACATATTTCAAGTGCTTTATCTCCATGTTTCAGGATTCCTGGTGGAATGGTTGTTGCATAGTGCAAACAAATAAAAACAAATTAAAACTTAAACTGGAAAAACAGTTTTGTTCATTGTTTTAAGTTGGAAGTAGTTTGACATACGACCATTGGTGTGCAGCCTTTTGTCAGTCTTGGAGTTTTTTCAGGGAATGAATCACACAATCGTAGGGTTGGAAGGGACCTTGAAATACCATCTAGTCCAATCCCCCTGCCAGAGCAGGATCACCCAGAGCACATCACACAGGAACGTGTCCAGGTGGGTTTGGAATGTCTCCTGTGAAAGAACCTCCATAACGTCTCTGGGCAGCCTGTCCCAGGGCTCTCTCACTCTCACATTAAAGAAGTTTTTTTTTCTGATGTTTATGTGGAACCTCCTATGTTCAATTTGCACCCATAGTCCCTTGTCCTATCGCTGGACATCACTGATAAGAGCCTGGCTCCATCCTCCTGACACTTGCCCTTAACATATTTGTTAACATTGATGAGGTTGTCCCTCATTCTCCTCTTCTCCAACCTAAAGAGACCCAACTCCCTCAGCCTTTCCTCATCAGAGAGATGTTCCACTCCCTTCATCATCTTTGTGGCTCTGTGCTGGACTCTCTCAAGCAAATCCCTGGCCTTCTTGAACTGAGAGTCCCACAACTGGACATAATACTCCAGATGTGGCCTCACCAAGGCAGGATAGAGGGGGGGGGGAGAGCCTCTCTTGATATAGATGTCAAAGACAAATGATATCATTTGCTTGATAAACATTTGAATTTTACAAGTCAAATTCGTAATTTGAGTGTTACAGCAAAATGTCTAGTCTTAGGATGAATTTGAGCTGAGTTGACCAGCTAAAAAAAATACTTCCTTACCTCTTTTTCATCCCTAGATCACCATCTAGTTGATTACTGAGTTAAAGAAATGTTGGGGTGAGAGGCAGAAGAGAGACTTTCAGATAGCATAGCAGATAGCTCGTTCCTAATTTTTGTCTGTTCTTGCTCCATACTCCCACCAAAATTACCTTTTTTTTTTTTTTTTTAATGATGTTCCTCAGATGACCTTACGCTTGCAGTGCTTTTGCTTGAAGCACCGAAAACCAAAAAGTCTTCATTGCTTGGAACAGAACCAGCTCTAAATTAGCATCTAGCAGTGGTGTCTAGATCTTTGAAATCCCTTTTACAAATCTCCATAATTAAAGTAACCCCAGTAAGCTGTAGAGCTGACAAGCTTTCATCCTGTGTGTGGTTCAAGAGCAAAAAGGACTCAGACTCTGAACTTCTGCATTCAAAGAGACAACTACTAAGGGAAGTTACCAGCAACCTAGGAGAGCATGTTTAAAGTGAGATTTGTGTGGAGTGATTCTTCCTAGCACCAAAGCAATTTGACTACCAGTCAGGTGAAGCAAATTGGACTTAAAGGTTTCTGCCCGAATGGTTTGTTTTAAATGTATTGATTACAAAGGGTGATAACTTGCACTGGAATGTGTTACGTAGTACTAATTCCAGTTACTGATGAAGTGTCAAGAGTTCTTGATGGAATTATGCTTTTCCAGAAGAGATTTTTTTGGAGCAGTATTTACTCTAAAATACGGCTATGAAGTAGTTCTTTTGTGTAAGTTGTTTGTTTGGGTTTTTTTTTTTTTTTATTTCCTACTCCTTATGGTTGTCAGTTTATTTATATTCATGAGCTTGCTAATAAACAAGTTTTTCAGCTAAGAATTCATTTTCTGTCATCTGTGAAGTTCCTAGTGCTCTTAGCAAAGCAATATTTTAGATTTTGAAGTCAGTTATTTACTTTGTCTCTGAAAGGGGACTAGATAGACCTCACAGAGAAAAGGAAGATTCAGTTTATGTTGAACAGCTTGAAAATTACCCTTTCAAAATGCAACTGGCAGCTAATTTCCTGCAAGGGCAAAATGGTATCCTTTAAAGAATTAATTATTTTTTCCACCACCATGTTAAAACTAAAAACTGTCCTCTGCCTTGTCCTTTTTAATGATTATAAATTACATCTGTACTTCTTAAGTTCAGCATGCCTACTGGTGTTGTTGTGCCTTAACGGAACAACTGCAGACTTTGATCTGGTTAAATCACTTATATTCAACTTGTTGTGGCAAAAGCCCTTAGAGCAACTTGAAAAATAATTTCTTGTAATTGTGCAGACTTCAGCTGTTTGAATGCTAATTTATATAACTGCTATATCACTGGTACCTTTTTTAATAAAAAATAACCTCTGAACAATACCATGTGTTTGTCCTACTTGAGGTAGAAGTTATTAAATATTACAATATTTGAAGGCATAGTTTATATTTCATATGTCTTTGAATAAATGATCTGAGAGTTTTCAGAAAATTATAACAAAACCACAGCAATCTGTTCAGTTTGGCAGTTTGAGACAGTTCAAGGGTTAAACTTTTACTGCCTAATACCAAGTATCTTATGTGTTTAACATAAATGTGTTCAACTAAACTGTTACAAATGCATCTCATCTGAAGCACTGCCAGTTCTCACTATGGTGATGATGTTTTCTTAAATTAAGTTGTTTACAAAGTGTCTTTTGTACAGTTTTCAAAGTGTTTTACCTAATCTGCTCTTCTGCTTAGGTATTCCAACTTGATCTTGAACTTATTTTCCCTCATGGTGGATGCCAACATTCCGGATATTGCTCTTGAACCTGACAAGACTGTAAAAAAGGTAACTGGAAATTTTTCCCTGTCTTTCAGTAAGCAAAGTCATGTAATGAAAGTTTCAGTCACTTGTGGTGACTCATTTGCCATGTATTACTGTCATGTCCCACAAAGTGGGCACAGCTCCCCAGAGGTGGGGGCCCAAATTAAATATCTATCACATCCCACAAAGTGGGCATGGGTAGAGATCTCCAGAGGTGGGCGTCTAGCCAGGGATATTTGGATCCAGACCTTCTCTTTTAATCAATCTCTTTTACCAACCCATTCAGTGAGATTAACCTCTGGAGTTCTCTGTGAGCTATTCTAAAAGACTATTGCCCAGAAGGCTTACTATAAAACATTACTTAAAATTCAGTGAAATTGTAAAGCTTGTCAAGAGGAAGACACACAGCAATATCACTCTTAAAGCAACAGATATCAACTAGTAGAGTTTAGCAAAATGGTACTCTCAAAACAAGTTATGACTAGAAAAACTTAGCAAAATTGTTACCCTTATGTGGCAAGAATAAGGTCAGAACCAGAGGAAGGGAGAGAGAGAGAGAGAGAGAGATATGAAGTGAGACAAAAGAGAGAAAAGAAGAAAGAGGGGATAGGAAAGATATCACCACGCTTGGATCTAGTGATGGTCTTGGCATGATGCTGTGGTCCTTGCATGGCAGGTGCACATGTGCAGTATTTCGAGTCTGCCTTTCTTATGGCACCTGGTTCTGCCTCTCCTGCCTACTTTGTGCAGACTCAGTGCTGGATTCAGGAATGTTCTGGAAATGGGTCAGTGGGGCACAGGGGTCCAGGTGATCACTTGGTGCCCCCCGTCCAGCTCTGTCTTTAAACAAAAAAGTTGTCTTTCATAAGATAGCACCATGCTTCCATGGGGCCTCTTGCCAGCCACTGCTCCTTGTCAAGTAAGGACAGTGTCCCATTTATCAGGGTGGTTCTGAATGAGGGGCTCTCCATGTGAGAAGAGGGTCCAGGTGGCTTATTGAATGAGGATCCTACCCAAGCACAATGTAACGTTTGTCAGGGTGGCTGTTTGGAAACAATTATTCATTTTGGGATTCTACAGTTATTTATTTGTAACTAGTGACTTCGGAATACTTGCTCATGTTTTCTGAGTTCTGAGCAATTTCTGGAATCATTGAAGTTAAAGGTAGCAGAACAGATTTTTGATATCACTTAATGCGTGTGCCCATAAATACAGAATTGCTCTTTATCGTCCATACAGTAAGTGCACAGGCTGCTCTAGCTCTCTGTTACAAGTGGTACTTTAGCATTCTGTGAAGAACAGTGTTCCAGTCTTAAAAAACTTTTATAAGTGAAACAATCAGCGCTGACTGTACTGTCAAGGATTGTTCCATCTATTCTGGAATCCTACAAGTCATGAATGGTTTTCTAAAGCCAGTCTATTGATAGGTATAAAACCAGCTTACTGAATATATAAACCAGTAGTCTGGTATATGTTCATCAACAAATGTTTTTTTTACTGTGAGAATAAACACATCTCTGAAGGGTGTCCCATAATTCTAATTTTGTCCTTTTGCATTAGCCTGAATAATTCTTCCCCATTTGACGTTTCAACAACAATTGACATTAAAAACATTGGATGAATGTTCATCTAGATTTCATTACACTTATAGTTTAAGCAAATGTTGGCTTTTTTATAACTTGATTTGGATTGAAAGGCTTTCTCTTCTAAATCCGCAAAAGACTTTGTGGAGCCTATATATCCAATGAAAGTCAGTTGAGTATAATTTTTGAGTAGCATGTTTTCTCTAAAATGAGCTTTTCTTTAGTGTTTTCAATAAGCTATGAAAACAAAGATTCAGAATCTGTAAATTAATATTTCATGTTCTAATACAGTGACCTTTAAGCAAACTAAATTGGGGCTCCAGCCAAACCTTTCTTTTTGCCTGCAAGAATTTGAGCATTTCTGTTCAAAGTTTCTTGGTTTCATATTAATTCAGAGAGTTCACAAAGCTATTTCATTTCCAGGAAGCCTGGGCTAGCCAGACATGCTGTATTTTGTGGTAAAGATTGCAGCCCTTCCTTCTGCCTGATTGTTTTCTGAGAAACTGACAGCTAATTCTTTTTCCATACCAGTATAGGAGTCTCTCCTCTGTCCCTAAATGTCCTGCAAAGAGTGGATAGAGTACTTATGTAAAAACATGAGAGACAGAGGATTATAGTAGAAAACCAAAACAGTCCAGCAACTACCAAGTTGTAGATGACAGGAGTAACTACATTTTTGTAAAGAGACCTGTTGAAGGAAGAGATATTCCTAAGAGTATACTTACAACACATCTACAAATTTAATCTTTGTAAAGATCACAGGTGTGATTCTGGCTTCCTTTTGGAAAAATTGGAAGAAGAACTTCTTGGTTTTGTGTTTGGGTGGGTTTGGGTTTTGGTTTGGTTTGGGTTCTTTTGGTTTTTTGTTGTTTGTTTTTTACTTCAGTAATACACTAAGGAAGGCAAAACCTTGTAGCTTGCAAAGTCTACAACTAGATGCACAGTCAGTCCTGAGACAAGTTGATGTATCTACAAGTAGTGCCAGGAGTTAGTTTTGGAAAGGTTGTCATTGACTGAAGTAGTAATAAAAAAATCAAACTGATGGTTTAATTGAATTCCAGTGTGCTGGTTCCTTCATGTTTGCAGCAGAAAGTTTGAGACTTGCTACCTGTTTTAATTTTGCTCATCTCTGTCCACAGTTCACTGTTGCTTGACTGTATAGTGTTTATTCATGCCTTGAATGTTCTCATGAGCTGTGGCATTTTTTTAGACCCAGTCTCCCAGTGTTCACTGCCAATTAACCTGAAATATCCTTGTTTCTTATTACTATCTTGGTATCATATTTTATATTGATAAACTCTGTGGAAGCACTCTCCACGGGCATATTGCATTCTGCAATGAATAATAATGGAAAGTCAGATTCTGTAAAATATCTGTAAAAGGCTATTTTGATGTACTGCCTTTTGAGTATTTCAGACATTTCTAGAACTCTCTTACCCTATTTAAATTTCTCATGTAATTTTCTTGAAAGAGCAAACCAAGATGCAACATTGAAAGCCAGTAAGTCGTTTCTGCAGCTGCTAATGCTAAGTGTGTCGCAGTTCGCTGATACACAGTTGTTAAAAACCAAGATTCTGTGAAGTGTGTATTCTGTGAAGTTTGTATCCAATTGGAGTTCATAGAAGGAAGCAAACTCTGAAATGAAGTTCTAAGAGCTGTAAATTACATCAGTGTGTTTACTTATAAATACTTTACAAAGTACAAATATTAGTACCTTCTTTGCATGAGAAGAATATGTTTATTTGCTGTATGACAGTTCACTGTTAGATCAAATGCAGCAACTAGTTATTGGGATACTGAGCTCTAACAGTGCTGCAGCCTGGTGATCTGTGACTTACCCTCATGGTAGGTTCAAGTGTGTGTGTTCACAGAAGCATTAACATGTGAAAAGAGCTAGAGCTGAAACAGTAAGGCAAGTATTTTTTATAAGGAATATAATTAACTTTCAATTTTTTTTTTTTGGGGGGGGAGGAAAAGATAGTACTTTCCCAAATTCTGTAGTTTCATTTGCAGTGCATTTGTTCCTTTAAAAAACAAGAGCAAAACCCACACAATAAGGTATTATCAGAAAGATAACAAAATTGTTTAACTTGTTTGTAAATGTTTTCTTTGTAAATCATTGACTTTTCAGCCCTCCCCCAAGTATTGTTATTTTATTTAAACATTCATTTGACAACTCAGCTGTTTTTAACTCCTGTTAACTGTTCAAGTTTGGACCTTTTGGTTCAAAATTTTGCCTTTGAATATACTCCTGGAGTTTATGTAAAAATAATATATCTTAATGGGATCTCTAATCAGTAGATAAATAGAGGAACCTTCCATAAAGCAGTTGTTGACATTATGATCTACTACATACAACTATGTTAAAAGCTTCTATGAAGTAATTGTTTTATTTCGTTCTCAAATTTTGGTTTTACTTTTTTGGTTTAAAAAAGCAGTTAGCAAATCAGCTGTAAATGAGCTAGGATCAGAATAATTTTAGAACATGATACAATACTGAACAGATAATTATTGGGGGGAGTTTAATAAGGTGTTGGAAAACTCATTCTGCATATTATATGCTCATTAGCCCATCTGAAATCAGTTATGATCTTTGTTAGTATTAATTAAAAAAAGGAATAAGATGTCTTGCATCTTTTGGGCTGAGTGGCAAGTTTGTTCAGTCATTTAACAAGATAATACTGTACCTTGTTGTAGGAAAATTGAATAAATACTTTCAGCATCTCAATTGATCTTTTTTTTTTCTTAAAGCTTTAAACAAAAAATCCATATATATATTTCAACAGACTCAAACAAGCTAAAGATCCATGTTAGACTGACCTGTAAAATTAAATTACCTTTGATGTGTGAGTCAGGTCAATATCCATTTCAACTGTGTTAGCACTTTCATGGAAGACAAAGGTGAAGATTTACAAATGTTTTTGTGTCTAAGAAGGTATCCCGCCTTACAGTGTAGGTGGAAGTTCATAGCCAGATTTTCCCTAATTGGTGCTCTAGTAACATTCATTCTCTGTCTTCTGGAGCCCTCATCTTCGCTTTAGGGGCCTGGCTGAACTGTTGAGGCTCTGGTCTTACAGGCAGCTGAAGTCAGGTCACTGCGGTAACAAGATAAAGGTAATCTCAGCTACATTTGGTGATAAATCAGATTAGTAATTTACGGTTAAATTACAGGGAAGATTGCATAGTAGAAAAAATGCACTTGTTTTAAAAGAAAGCAGTGCTTATTGAAGGTTGTATTATGTTTTGGTTTTTTTGATGAAAAATTGTTTTGGCATAGAGATGCTTGATACTGAATTTTTCAGCAGGTGCAGCTATGCTGCTGTTACCAAGTATTATTCTAAAGATTTCTTATTCAAATTCTTATTCATTATTCTAAAGGTTACTTCTAAAGAACGATTTTTCTTGAATGGCCACAATTTTGGTTCCTCATTAGGATGTTAG